CAAACCCACCACACACCAAACCCCACCCCCGCCACAACGTACTCTGTAGGTAGCCCATGAGCTTACGGCTAGTGTGAATCACGACACTCAAGGACAAACAGAGAAGGCAGGCCAGCTGACAGGTATAGTGCGTGGACCCACCAGAAGACCACACTTTTCTCGGGCCATTATCTCCGTAACCGTTCAACTTTGGACATAGGTGTTTTGGGTTATATCAGCATACTTTAACATAAGGAACACCCTCCCGAAGTTTGGTCCATTCCTCCTGGGACACACTGTATATATATTTTAATTGTTATTCATCTTATGTTAAGACAGTCTTATGTAATATATCAATGTAATCTACTGACAGTTTCTATATCCAATGGTTATGTACCTGAATGGATTGATGAATGATACTAAAAATAAATAAATATTTGTTGTGATAATTAACCCAACTCCTATATACAGGATGTTTCATGACTTTAGGGCATAACTGCAGGAGGTGATTTCCTAGGTCTTTGTGATCAAAAAAGTTCATATAAACATGTGTCCGATTTTGGACGGTTATGGAGTTATGACCGTTTTAAACTCAGAATAGAAGGTAACGATTACTGACAATAAATGGAACAAAATAATAAATGATACATTTAAAGTATGAATGTAAAGTAAACTTTGTGAAATTACCTTTAATTTGAATTGATTGGTGCTTAAAGCTGATTTTCGAAAATGTCACTGCCGGCCGCAACACAGGCTGCTGCTCGGTTGTGAACCGCGCCAGACATACCAACGAGAACGCTCTGTCTGTAGCTGGCTAAAGATAGCGACCTGCTAACTGACAGACGCGGTTCATACGAGGGCGTGTACGGGAATGAAAAAAGGTCATAATTCCATAACCGTCCAAAATCGGACACACGTTTATATGAACTTTTTTGATCACAAAGACCTAGGAAATCACCTCCTGCAGTTATGCCCTAAAGTCGTGAAACACCCTGTATACAGCACTATAAAGACAGGTCATAATCACTAAGCAACAGAATATTAGGATTAGGGACAATGCAGGTGATGCAACCCTGTTAAATATTCTGATTTATGTGTTCAGTGTCTGACATTGTCTGTCTATGGGTTTCAACTAGTCCGACCTCTCCATCCGCATTCTATCTTGTTTTATTTATATCAGCATTTTCTTACAACTGAATACATGCCTTAGTTATGGGTCCCCTTCCACTTGCTCCAAGAAGTGCTGCAATACTGTGCTATCTACAGGAACCTGAAGGAGTTCTGATCCATCTGGGCTGCGACGTTTGTGTACCAGCTTATGGTCCAGGAACTCAGTGAGTTGAGCCCGAAGTGCAATATCTGAACTTACCAAAAGAGCTTCTCTTGCAGACCAGTAGAGGTCTTTGAATTGCAAGCCTGCAGAATAATTTGTACAGTGAAGACAATAAATGGAGCAGAAATCATTCAAAGAAACTTCTATAAAAAATAATTAAAAAGAATTCATGGTTCCTCCAACATTTCTTTAGGAGCAATAACTACTCGTTTCTTTCTTGTTCCTCTTTCTGTTAGTGTCAGGAAAGCAAGGGATTCCACAACAGTCTAATTACACTTTTTGGAGACTAATGGAGGTTTCCTTTGATGTGTCTTTGAATAATTCACAACATAAGATCTAAAAGTTTGTGACAATGGTACATTAGTACAAATATTATTTTTTCGGACATTATCCATCGTCTTTGTCTTTATCTCTGGACTGGAGATAGGGACTAGCTCTATCAATGGGGCCCAACTGAGTAGGTTTTACCTGAAGATGGAGACAGAATCCAGTCCCTGAAACGTGTTTTGAAAAATAAACAGGATGGTTTTTAGATAAAGACAAGATGATGGATAATGTCCAAAAACATAATATTTATATGAATTCACAACATATGTACATATTTAGATAGTATGCGATGTATTTTCATGACTTCTCCTTAGTTTTTACAGGAAATTTCATGGGTAGAATTTTGAACAACTGGTCATATTTTGCCTTTATTTTCAAAATGGTGAACATCAACAAGAAGTCAGTCCATATCACCTCCATATTTTGCTTCTCGACGAGGCAGCAAATTCACAGAAACATATTACTTCACACTACATACATACACTTCTGGTTGCTGTTCAGATAACATCATGGTGATAGACATCACTCTCTATACGATGGGGTACCCAAAAGAAACCGAACTAATTTTTTTGTGGGCAGAGCTTTTGTAGTACCGCGTTTTGCCGCTATGAGCGCATAGAGCTAACATTCCTGAGTCGATAAGCCGACTACCGTTGCTTCAGAAGGTAAGGACTAGTTTTGGCAGAGTTTATAGTGACAGCTGTTTTGTGTGATCGTCGTTTTTGCAATGGCCTGAACACATGAAAATGTTGAAAAAATTCGTGAAATCATCAAGGAAGATCGACGACGGACCATTGAAGAAATTGTGGAGCTGTCGGGAGTGACTTGGAGCTCAGTTCAGCGAATTTTGACAGAAGATTTGGGAATGAAAAGGGTGGCTGCGAAATTCGTGCCACGACTGCTGACTGCTGAACAAAAACAAGGTCGCGTGGAAGCATGCTGTGCTTTGAAAGAAGAGTCCCGAAATGATGAAAACTTTTTTTTGTTTCCTCAAATGAAAAGAGACATGAAAGGAAAGCATTTTGCTGATGTTGCTGAGGTGAAGGAAAAAACGACAGAGGCACTGTCAAGCATCTCAAAAGATGAATTTAGACAATGTTTTGAAAAATGGAATAAAAGACTAGACAAGTGTATTAGTGTAAGTGGAGAGTACTTTGAAGGGGACTGAAGGTTTGTGCTTAAAATTTGAATAAATAAGTTTAAAAAAAAATAAGTTCGGTTTCTTTTGGGTACCCCCTCGTATATTATAACACAGCATCCTACTGCATTGGAGCCAACCATGTATCTATAGTAATTCTGTTCCATCACTACTAACTGACTTATTGCTGTTTCTGCTTCGAGAGCTACTATTTTAATCAATCTTTTGTGTTTGAGTCTCATTTTATGACCGACGGTCAGTCGGCCAGTCTGTCTTGGCATAAAGCACCCATCTGGGGCTTGCGACCAGATCTTTATTATTGTTTGACGGTTATGGTCCTGTTTTCTGTGGGCACCCTCTCTAACGAGAGGACGGGTCTGTCTTTTGTATATGCTGCTAGCCCTTGCCAGCACAGTCCTCGGGTCCAAGTCCCTTGGTACTTGAGACCGTATATTACTCTCTCAAATTTGAGACTTCCCTTTTCGTTGCCTCCTATGACTCACAGGGTCGCGGTGGAGGTATTCGAACCTGCCTCCACATGGGCGGGTATTTGTATTTTAACCCTTTACTTAATAGTTGTATTTCCTCACCTGTGAACTGTATATTTGTATTATTTTATACTCTCTTGTAATTTGTGTTATTGTGTCCTATGTTTTTTAGTTATTTACTTAACTCATGTATTTTGTGTTGTTGTTTATGGTGTACTTTAGTCATTTCTTGTTGTAATTTTTAGTTTATGGATTGTTTGATATTGTTGCATTATAGATGGATCACTGTCTAAAATTTGGAGGGGACTCAACCTTTAAGCCAGCAAGTCATGGTAAATATGGTCCTAAAAACACTGTTCCTATTGTGACTATGTAACATTTTGAGGAGACAATCAGCGTTTCTTGATCATGCATTAAAATGATGCTCAAGCAAACTGAGCACTTCTGCCTCAAGAATTGAGTAAATTCTCTATTCCGATATACAGAACTCAAGATTCTTGAGTGCTGATTTTCTTCTAGAGAATAGAGGGGCCCAGAGGGTGAGTTAAATCTACCTTTATGGATTACTGGTTATAAACACTATGGGAAGATAACCTGCAAGTACAGTCAGTGCAAAAAGTCATGGAAGGGAAGTAGTGGCTAGTTAGGAAACGCGTGTTATAAATGAAAGGACAGAAAAAAAAAGTTGCCACTTTATGGAAATTTTTTCCATGCAGGTAATATTAACAAAATGACAGTATCAATGATTTTTCCAGTATAATGGCATTCTCATATTGATTCTATTGTGGTTACACTGTTCCTTTAAATGCCCATTAAAGGCCACAGAATCAAGGGATTCAGTGTCACCCCCTCTACAACCAAGCGGCGACTAAGTGTCTGACGCATCTACAATCAAGCTGTTGGGATCTAGTTGCATGATTCATACCTAAGTATGTTGGATCCTTTTGGTTTTTCAGCTGATGGCGTACCATTATGATAAAGATGCTGCGTGCATTAGTAGTCAGGGAATGGAACACATTGGACAGGGATGATAATGCCAGGCCACCAGACCTCTGCACTAGCAATGAGTTCTCAAACTGTGTCTCTCCTGTGTAAGGTTGCAGAGATGTGACATCCCACCAAACAAAGTTGTACCGACTTAGTTTTGCATGATCCCAGACTGCAATAAAACCAAAAATTGAATATTCAAGACACTGAAGACTAATTTGAACCAAAAACTTCAATTTCACACATTCTGTTCCTCAAATATTCATGCATATGACAGAGGACTACAGACCACTGTATTCTTAAGCATAAACCATACAGAAGATTAATTACTTCATCTTATTAAGGAAAAAGTGAGAATGGATTACATAAATAATGATTAAGAGATGTTTCCAATCGATATAATGACGAGAATTTGCAGGAATGTGGCAAAATTAGTGAAATACGTTCTTGTACATATTCATCAGAATCAACAAAAAGTAATGTCTCTTGGTCAGTGTTCAAAAGCTGTCAGTCCAATTGGATAACATACTTTGTACCTATTCAAATTTTTGCTTTACGTTCTGTGCTTTCTTGGTGAAGGGTTGTAACACCGTGTATTTGCAGATAGCCCATGTCTTGGAGGAGCTATGTTCCTCTGAAATGCTGGGCTTTCTCCAAAGTACACAGCGTTACAACCCAGAAGATCATAGCCACTCCTGTGAGAACCTCAAATCTCATGAGACAATTTTTGATTAAATTCCACATTTGAAATATAAAAAAGCATTCATAAAAATAATTTTGAAAGGAGCAACAAAAAGACAAACTTACAATTTACTTTTAGATATATCTGGAGACAAGACAGAAAAATAGAGACCCCCACAAACATTCTGTACAAGCTGCACTCCTATCAAATTAGTTTTTCAGAAAGACCAAAATAAATTGGGGTGTGGTGAATGAATTTAATCTCAAATCATATTTGAACAGAAGCAATCCTAGAATATTAATTCCTGCATAAATTTCATTCTAATTTATTGCTGGATCATGTACATATAATAAGAACATGCAGCAATTTTTTTTCCTTACAGATGAAGTATATACGTGGTGCAATCCAAAAGTTCCCGAAATATATTAATAAAAACTATTACATCTTACCTAGATCTTATTCTGCACCATCGCCTTCAAAGTAGTCCCCTTGGGAGCGCAGACACCGATCCCAGCGTCTCTGCCACTTTTGAAATGCATCCTGGAAGTCTTTCTTTGTTAGGGTGTTTAGTACCGTCTGTGTTTCCGCTTGAATTTCCTCAACTGTATCATATCTTCGCTCCTTCAACTTGAGTTTCATCTTGGAGAAGAGAAAGAAGTCACATGGAGCTAAGTCTGGCAAGTACGGTGGATGAGGAACAACTGCCATCTTGTTTTTAGCCAAAAATTCCTGCTCAATGTAAGCCATATGCGGTCGTGCGCTGTCATGGTGGAGTACCCAGTCGTTCGTGCGCCACTTCTCTGGAC